TATGGGGCGTGAGTACCTATATACTCATCCTGCCCCTAACTCCCTTGTTGTGAATCACCACAAGTGACAAGGCCAGGCAGGGACCACCCCAAGAAATAACAATTCTAAAAGGCTTGATTTTATTTAGCCAAAAATATTATTCATCTTCTAGCCTTCGACTCCCTGTGGCAAACCACTAAACCCTCATAATCTGCTATGACATAAACCTGTGGCAGGCAATGACAAAATTTGAGCCCTTGCTCCCTGAAGACTCTAGGAAGGTGTTCAGGGCTCTAGCAGATGAGGGAGCCACAGGAGCTGGAGTGGCATTCCACACAGCCTTGGATGTGGCAGCCTCTATGGCTCGCACTATGGCAATGGCGGTCCCTATGCAGAGGGCACCTTGGCTGCTGCTATCAGCTGCTATCAGGTGAGGTGCAGTAGTTGATCTGGGACTTTCCCTTAAATGGTACTGTGCTGTTTGTTGAGCAGATGGACACAAAGTTGCACGGCTTAAAGGATCCTGGGCTTGTATGTTCTCACACTGGCATGTAAAAAAATGTAAGCCACCAGCTCCCCGGCTCAGGCTTTCCATTCCCGACAGGACCTGGGTCAGAGCAAATGCAGGGGCTTTAGAAAGAGGCAGAGTAAGTCCATCCTCACATGCAGATCCACCCATCCCAAGCATGCACCAAGGTGCCCCTTTTGAGAGCGCCTTGCTGGTCACCACGGCCAGAGTCTGCCTTCTGCTTTTCAGTCACATGGCAGTGTGTGCCTCTGTAATGTGACATGTTAGGCTCAAGCTGTGTCCACTCCACAGTGGCTAGTGTCAGTCTACATACCTTCCAGGCATTCACTTGACAGAGTAGTGACCATCCCAGCTTCAATTCTTGACTCCCTCACCTGGTGAACCAACTAGGTGGAGTCCCATTCCAGGCTTCTTCCTGCTCTGCTCTGCTGGTCTCAGATGCCTTTAACCTCAGTTGGGATGGGCATCCAGGTGAACTCCAGACCCAAGGCACCTGGTCTGTGGCAGAGGTGCATAAATGTCAAGGAGCTCAAGGCAGTGTGCAGAGTGTGCAAGGTCTTCCTGCTTCATCTGTTTGGTGGAGTGGTTAAGAGTCCTCATGGACAATATGGCCATGATGTTCTATGTCAACCACTCTGCAATGTCTCCCAGGAACCAACCCATCTCTGGAGTTTCTATATCCAGCACATTAACCTAGAGGCATGGCACCTCTTGGGGGCCAGGAATTTCTTGGCCAAAAAAACTGAGCAGACAGTTCTCCTCTCACCGTGAGTGAATTCTCCATCTGGAAGTTGCTTCTGTTCTCTTCCAGATATGGGGCACTCCTCTGGTGGACCTGTTTTCCACCATGCTGTAAAGGATTTGCCACCTTTTCTGCTCCAGGCAAGGTACAAGGTTCAAGCGTGGGCTCCCTATCAAATACCTTCATCACACCATGGACACAGTCTGTTTTATGTGTTCCTCCAGTTCCTCTCATCGCCAAGGACCTAATGAAGATTAAGGAGGACAAGGCTAGGGTCGTTCTCATCATCTCAACCTGTTCCCATCAACACTGGTTCAGCACCCTGATGAGCCTCAAAATGTTTCCCCTGCCAATCCACCCAGACCTAATTTCCCAGGATCACAGTTGTCTGCTTCATCCTGACCTGAAATCTCTCTACCTCCTGGTGTGGTTACTTCATGGCTGAATCCAGAGTAGCAATCCTGCTCTGGGGGAGTGAAAGCTGCAAGCAGACAACCAGGCATATATAGCAAAGGGTCCCTCAGTCACGTCAGTTAGGAGAGTCTCCGAACTGCATGCCTTGACTTCAGAGCCCCCAAATAATGTATTTTTAAAAAACAAGGTTCAACTGTGGTCCCATCCTGCCTTTCTACCCAAGGTGGTCTCTACATTCCACATGGGTCAAGACATTTTCCTCCCTGTCTTCTCTCCTAAGGCACATATGACCGTTAAGGAAAGGCATCTCCATGCCCAGGATGTCAGAAGGGCTCTTGCTTCTTTTAAACACCTAAAAAATGCAGTTATGTGCCTTGCGGGAATTTTTCAAAATTGCCTAGCCACCTAATTGCCATTGGGCACCTATCTGCACCTCTAGATGTCCAAGTACCTTTAAAAAATCTGGACTTAATGAGTTTAGGTTCTATATTAAGACAAGATGCAACAAGGCAGGATAAGAAAGGAGGTAAGGCGGGGAGAGGAGAGGACAAGGAATAGATAGGAAAGTGGCTTATTTTTCATGTGTTAGTGTTTTGGAGGATTTGAAATATATAACAACATCTATAATGCCAGTAATCTCAGGTGGCCTAAGGTCTTTCACAATTAGTTCACCAGTACAAATCTAGCCTGGATAATTAGTGCCCAAAGTCATCAAATTGTGTGTTCAGAGAGTCAGCTGAAATTAGTTGGTGATATCAGCTCAGTTCCCCAAACATGCCACTACCACAGCAGGCACTAATTAGTACACTCTTAGCAGACTTGTAGAAACTAGAGATTGAAAGGGCATCAAGACAGGTCCCGCAAGGTTGATGTAAAATACCCAGACAAAGTGTAAAATCTATATTACTGTTGCCTGCAATAAACCGGTTTGAAGTAGGTATGTTGGCTATTGGGTAATTGAATAGCCATGAACTTCATGAAATTTTAGCCAGTTGCACAACTATTCGATTGACCCCAGGGGCTTGGCCAGCAGCCAGTGCACTCCTGGACCCATTCCTGGGGAGCCCCCTGCCACCTCGTGCTGCTGCCTCTGTATAAGAGGCAGCAGTGCGGGGTGGGAGGCAGAGTGAGTCTGCAAGGGAAACCAGGTTAAAAACCAGATACCCTCATGGACTGGCTGCCTGCCGCCCTGCGCTGCAGCCTCTTATACATAAGGACGGCCATACTGGGTCCATCTAGCCTAGTATCCAGGCTGCCGACAGTGGCAGATGGGACCAGATGTCCCAGAGGAAGGGAACACAATAGGTAATCCTCACCAGATCCCTCTCCTGTCACCCATTTCCAGAAAACAGAGGCTAGGGACACCGCTCCTATCCATCCTGGCTAATAGCCATTGATGGACCTAACCTCCATGAATCTATCTAGCTCTTTTTTGAACCCTGTTAAAGTCCTATACTTCACCGCATTCTCTGGCAAGAAGTTCCACAGGTTGACTGTGCACTGACTCAAGAAAAACTTCCTTTTGTTTCTTTTAAACCTGCTGTCTATTAATTTCATGTGGTAGCCCCGTGTTCTTATATAGTAGAAATAAATAAATAACTTTTCCTTATTCACTTTTTTCACACCAATCATGATGTTATAGACCTCTATCATATCCCCCCTTAGGCTCTTCTTTTCTAAGCTGAAAAGTCCAAGTCTTTTTAATCTCTCTTCATATGGGACCCGTTCCAAACCCCTAATCATTTTAGTTGCCCTTCTCTGAACCTTTTCTAATATATCTTTTTTGAGATGAGGTGACCGCTTCTGTATTCATAGTCAAGACGTGGGCGTATCATGGTTTTATACAGAGGCAGCAATGCGGGGTGGCAGCAGCCCCTGTCTGTGCAGGGTCCAGGCTTCCCACAGACAGAGGTTATTCTGCAGCATTCAAAGCAGCCTCTGTCTGTGGGAAACTTGGGCTCACCGCAGACAGAGGCTGCTTCGCAGCAGCCTCCCCTGCCCCTCCCCTGTGCTGCTGTCTCTGATTGAGCAGCAGTGCTGGGGGCGGGGCAGGCGGTACTGCCGAGCCAGTCCTGGGGAGAACCAGCTTTTAAGCAGGCTCTCCCCAGCACCTGCTCCTGCCTGCCCACCCACCTCTATAGGAAGGAGCAAAGAGGGGTCAGGTGGGTCTGTGGAGCCAATACATGTGGGGAACTGGCTTGAAAGTCAGCTCTCTGTGTGTATCAACTCCAGCCTGCCCTCTCACCCTCTGTGCTGCTGCCTTTCTATCAGAGGCAGTAGCATGGGGGGACGGGAACAGGCGGATCTGGTTCTTGTGGGGGCCAGTTTGTAAGCCAGCTCCTTACGGGCACCAGCTCCCACTCCACCTCCCTTGCTGCCTCTGATACAGAAGCAGCAAGGCAGGGGAGAGGGGGAAATGTGTGTAGTCAACAAGATTAACTGATAAGTCTACGCTTATTGGTTAATCGTATATTCAACTACACGTTGACATCTCTATTATGAAGATACAAAAAAGGGCATCAGTTCCTTCAGCTATTAACCTAGCACTAAACTGGGAAATCTCCTTTTGTCAAATCTGAGGACTGTGGTTTAGAGAATTTATAAAATGTAGCTCATGGTTCATAAGAATTTTGACTCCAATTCTTTTTTAAAACGGTGATTACAGTTTTGTGATTTTTAAAAAGCTGATTACAGATTGTTGCCCATATTACCCTAGATCAGGTGTAGCCAACCTGAGTCTGAGAAGGAGCCACCGTTTACCAATGTACATTGCCAAAGAGCTACAGTAATTTGTGAGCAGTTCCCATCAGGTGCCCGCTCTCCCATCTGCAGCATCGTTTGCCCACCAGCAGCCCCACGGATCAGTGCCTCCTCTTCTTCCCCGCACCTCCTGCCCACTGCAGTCAGCTGTTTCATGGCACTCAGGAGGCTCTGTGGGGGAGGGAAGGAGCGAGGGCGCAATACACTTGGAGCCAGGAGTTGAGCATTGGAAAGTTGGCACCTGTCACTGCAGCCCCAGAGTCAGAGCCTGAGCAAGGAGCCTCATATTAACTTCAGAAGAGCCAGAGATGGCTCCAGAGACACAGGTTGGCCACCCCTGCCCTAGAAACTGGAGTGAAATCAGGTTTCAAATTAAATCAGTGCTGCTGTGATCTTGAACAGAGAGGTTGCTTCAGAATGATGGCGAGAACCCCCTCTCCCTTCAAGGGGCATGAACTGAGGGCACAGATGGGAGAGTCGAGTTTGCCTTTTGCGTGGCACCAGGTTTTGCACTGTTTTTAAAGCTTGTACTGTGTGATTGATTTGCCTTTTCTGGGACTTGTTCTTTCCTTGCAGAGGACAAGCTGGAACAGCAGCACTCCCTGTTTACACGCTACAAAGACCCATGCCGGCTTGGACCTGGAGAGGAAAAGCCATGGGCAATTGGTAAGAGTTTATCTCAGGCTGTCAGAGGCAACCTATTTTACCCTGACCCCACCTGCAGGCAGCATTTGTTATATCTAAGGGGCAGTAACGGCAGTTAAGTGGGGACTATATATTTACAAACTGTGGTTTAAAAGTACTGTCCTCCCCTCATATCAGATCTTTTTGTAAGCCTCGGAGTACTTTATTAAACTACAGGTTGAATCTCTCTGGTCTGAGACTGGACAGCCCCAGGGCAGGGAGCCTAGTGACCGGGGCCAGGCAGGCAATGGAGCTGGGCCGCCAGGGTCAGACCATTGGCCCGGGGCAGGGAGCCTGGTGTCCAGGGTCAGACCATCGGCCCGGGGCAGGGAGCCTAGTGTCCAGGGTCAGATCATTGGCCCAGGGCATGGAGCCTGGTGTCCAGGGTCAGACCATCGGCCTAGGGGCAGGGAGCCTGGTGTCCAGGGTCAGACCATCGGCCTAGGGGCAAGGAAATGGGCTGGGGTCAGCAGATCCCAGGGATGCCGGACCAGAGAGGTCCAACCTCCATAAACTGTACTCAAACAGAAATCACCTTATCCACTGCTGAAACACAGACCCACTGGAACTGAACATGTCAGCAGCGTATAAGACTACTCAAGCAGCCTGCCACAATTTAGCAGCTTTAAAAATCGTTTTTAAAATCCAGTTGAACCATTGTGGTTTCTGTGTATTTTAATTTTAGTCTCTGCATTGCACCAAGCTATTTGTATTTAAACTGAAGCATTCAGCTTCTGATCTGACTCTTCCAACCCCATTATTAATGATGTAGTTATAAATCAGTACTTGTGACAAAGTAAACAATTCCACTGGCACCATTTTCATGTTGATCTCCAGTTCAAAAGGAAAAAAATCATGCCTGCTGTAATTCCACTAACGTCAACTGAGATATAGTAGAGATGACTTTGCCCACTGGACAGCCATGACAAGCTTTAATAACACGAGTGGTAGAGGTTTCACTTAATGAACTCTTTGCTTTGACTAAGGAAGAGGTTGTGTTATTCACAAGTGCAAGAAAGGAGACAACAGGATCCCAGAGAGCTGAGACTTGGGGGAAGCTAAGAAGAAGCAGAGACCTAGGGATTTCAAAGTTGAGGTGAAATCAAGGCAATGGTCTTACCAGGCAGCAATGCAAACGTGGGCAGTTGGCTGCTTTTAAGGGTTAGGTAGAAAGTACAAATATAGAAGGTTGGGAGGAAGGTTTCTGGCAGTTGAGAGAGAGTCTCGCCCTAGCTCCCTGCCATTGAAGATGTTTCCTGATTCCCCTGACTCCCTCTCTGCAGCCAGCTTTCAACATATCAGGTCCTGGAGATAGCAACCGGTGAGGAACACTTGAGTGTATAGCTCTGCTGCGAGAAAGAAGGAGAAAAAATAGACAATGTCTGAACAGACTGGGTTGGCCAGATTGGGTAGTTTCCCAGGAAGATTTAAGAAGCTCTGAGGTGGGTTGTTCTGTGTAGGAGGCCAGGGAGAAGAGACATTTAGGGATCAGAAAGAGGGACGGTAGAGGAACTGAGTGTGACTATCCCCATCCTCACTGCAATTAGGGGATTTTTTGCATTAATTCTGAAATGGAAGACTCCCATTTGATGGAAAGCATCAGCCTGCAATATGCAATTCCTGAAGTATGTAAACTGGTATTAACCTTGTCCAAAGCAAATGACAAGTGAGCATAAAATGCTGTGAAATCTGAAAAGGACACTTTCTGATTTCATTCCCTTTGCATAGCTACGAATAACAACAACAGGTGCAAGTAGCAACAGGTACACTGAGCTAGTCATGTGTTCCTTTTTGTTCACAGGTACCCTATTAGATCCTGAAGGGTTGTATGAAGAAGAAGTGTGCACTCCAGATAACCTACAGAAGTATGCACTCAGTCTCTTTCACTGTTTACAGGCAGTCCACTGAAAAGCTAGTTTGTTATTTTGTATTTAATACATTAATGCTGGTTATTAGTGACTAAAATTTATTATCTGATGGCTGTTTGGTGGCTTTTGAGAAATGTGTCGCTTACCTTTGATTTGGCAAAAACAGCAGACATTCTTAGAATTTAATTAACTCTAGAAATTGACCTGACATCTCTGTAAGTGGCTCCACGTGGCCCACAGGGATATATGTACAGAAAATAGAAGGTTAAAACAGTGTGATCACTGTCCAAGCCAGATAGAGTTATGCTATCATATAGCCAAATGGACGACCAGATTCTAAAGATGTCACTTTTCCCCCTTTACCCAGCACTAGGTTTACACCAAACCATTCAAAAATGAAATGGGTGTAGAGATGGGGTAGAAACAAGACTACCTAAACTCTGGGTCTAACCAGCCTTAAATTTTGGGGAAGTACGGATCCTGACTCCAAAACCTGTGGCTGTTAACCATATTATCAAAAGAGGTATGCACTACAAAATTCAAAGCTGGCTAATTTTCAGGAAAGTCACACCCAAGTCTACATTCCATTATTTGGAACAGGATAACAGAACAAAGTTCTGAATGCTATCAGACGGGGCATAGCACAGTCTGTTTGAAGATCTCCCCGTAGCTGTTGTGTCCAATGGATTTGGTACTAACAATGAGGGACTTAAGCAGCCCAAGAACTAGAACCAGACTAACCCTGTGAGATTATGTAGATACTGTCCTAGTAGAAGAAAGTTCCCATAACTCATTGTAAAAAGTGTGTGTGTGCATATGTGTGTGTGTGTGCACAAGCAAACAGGCCATGGGGGAAAAGCTGACTATCAGCCAGTAGTACTTTCCTGTACTTGCAGCTTGTTTTCATGGTATGTTTGATTTAGCGATAAGTCTTGGGCATGTTAAAACTCCCTGCTACAGAGAACACAAAAGACCACTTCCCCAAGGCTGGTGAAACCTTAGGAGATATTTCTTTAAGGACTATACAAGACCTTAGATACTATACTGTTGAAGCAGTTCTGATGCTAGCTTAGTAGTTTGCTGAGCAACATCTCTAACAGACAGGTATGTGCTTGTTCTTTGGACATCTTGTCTTCATAGCAGATTGCATAAAAAGGTGCTCTAGATCCAACTGCTGCATCGTATCAAAACATACAGGCAGTCCCCAAGTTACGCGGATCCAAGTTACGTCGGATCCGCAGTTACGAACGGGGCCCGTCTCCCTGGTCTCCAGCAGACCAGGGAGAGGAAGCAAAGCGGCGGAGCACGCGGGCAGCGGACAGCCCAGACACGTCTGGGCTGTCCACTGCCCGCGTGCTCCGCTGCTTTGCTTCCTCTCCCTGGTCTGCTCCCTGGCCTGCAGACCAGGGAGACGGGGAGCAAAGCAGAGCAAAGCGGCGCTGCCCGGCGGCTCCGC